TCAAGCCCAAAATATTTTGGATCTCGTCCGAAAAGCAATGCCCCCCCCCAAACAACACGCGGGCGAGTCAGATTCATGCCGCAAACGGCTTTAAAGGTAATGCGTTACTAAACTACGGAACCCACTTATTGAATCGAACGCTTTAAAGATCGATGGATTGCGTGAGGGGGAACGACCCCACGCGGGCTCGGGCAACGTCGAAATAACTAGCGACACGCTGCCCCGAAACATTTGATCTGTTACAGCAAGCGAAACGTGGTTCATTAACAGATCACAGATATAGAGCCGATCCGGCGGTGAAGGCGGAGATGGACAGACGATGGGCAGATTCGCAGCGCTATATCGCTAGACTGAAGGCTTATCAAGTTTCCTATCATTTATGCTCGCGCTAAGTTGACGGAACTTGGCGTTGAATGACACGATATCGTCATATTAGATATCATATCAGTATCAGATAACATCAATATTAGACTGGCCTGATAGAGTTGTCGTCCATACACACGTATAGTGTAGTTGTCCGTTATTAGAGGTGGACCGTATCTACAAACGCCATGGCTGATAGCTGAGGATGGCTGAGATGCATCGTGCAGCTAGCCTCTCGGCGTCGTCTGGATGGAAGTAAGTGCCCTTCGTGCATGAGGTTTGCTGCAAGCATGAATAATAAGGTGCCAATACTATGTACATAGTAAGTTAGCATATAAGTTAGCATATAAGTTAGCATAATAGTTAGCATAATAGGTACTGGCCGGATAATACCAAATTGGCCATGGACTTTCCTAGCTAGACCACAATCATCCAGTTAACGAAAACGAAGCCACATGATACATAGTTAGCTAAAAAGAGTCGAGTCGACTTACTGTCTTAGACTTGTTTATTGATATTACTACACTACATACGACACCATACATTGCCGTGGAACCAACAGTCCCAGTTATCCAGTTGGATGGACACACGTCGTACCACAGCCTTCCCATAATACCAATCAAGTGATTTGTTTACTTGGTTTATTCGGAGGTTAGCAGGTTAGCAGGTTGGAAAGGTGGGTTGGCCGGGACTCCAATATTTTCCGGCTAAGTAGCCGATATGCAGAAACGATGCAAAAAGGATGCAAGAAGACGCAACCACGCAAACCCACGATGTACAAGATGCACAAGATGCAGTAGTGTCTTCGATCTTGAGTGGTCTATTCTGTTTTTAGCCTTATCGATTTAGTCCACTGATCTGCTAAGCCGTTAAAGATCCGCTTAGTACGTATCTGTATCCGCTTAGCACGTTGTCCTTTCCGGTTTCTTAAGGTTTTAAGATTTGTTATCGAAGTTTATCGTTATCTGCCCTGTTAGCCTGCCCAGCCTGCCCCCCCTTCCCCCTCCATCTTGATATTTCCCTTGTCTTTACTTTTCCTATCTTGGAGTTCGTCAATCATCTATCCTCCGCTTGGAACACTTGGGGGCTGCTACTACTGATTCTGCTGCATCAAACTCTACCAAGACCTTGTTGGTGCAGTAGCGCGATACAGAGTGCATTCCTCGTTCCTGGGGGACAAGGCTAGGGATCCATTTGACTTTACTACCTTACCATTCGAGCTTTTTTCTTTCTTTTTTTTCTTGACCGCCTTCTCGACGACACGCATCAAGACGCGGTGTGCCGTACGGCTTTTTTTCCCTTCCCTTAAACATTACTATCCTATTCGGTGTTATCCTCGGTCGGAACTGAACCGCTGAAGCAAGAAGAGAGAGAAAAATTTTCCTCCTGCACGTCAAATTATTATTTCATGCTCTTATTACCACGTTTTTTTTTTCACCTTCGCCTTCACCGCTCTGCACCGACGGGTAGACTAGTGTTGGTTTCCGCCCCCATCCCGATAGAATTTTTTGCTCAGATCTTAAGATCTTGAAGACGCGATATTCCAAGAGAACGGAAGACCCACAGTTCCAGTTGCCGTCATGACCCCATCCAGCCCTGTGAAAGTGGTGCTTTTAGACATTGGTAAGGACAGCTTCTGAGCCTGACCTTGCCTTGCCCTTGCTTCATATTATTATTATCGTCTAGCAGTTTAGACTTCTGGACGCATTAGCCTGGGCGTGCTGGCTAATACGTATCCTTCTAGAGGGCACAGTTTGTCCAATCTCCTTTGTCAAAGATGTCCTGGTAAGACATTCCGTTGGAAACCTCGTGTCTCCAATTCTCAGATCCCCCAACCCTACCACCCTTGTAGTATAACCCTGTATACCAGTATGTATGACGATGGACCGCTCACATAGTGGATGTAATGCGCCGTCCGTTTACAGCAGTTTCGGACCACTAGACTACTATGTAACTTGGGGTTAAGTTGTCCTAGGATAGTTATATCCCGGCTATGACGAATTACGTCTCTTGGTATCTCAGCATCTAGCAACACTGCTATGCTGGTTTGCTTTCGTTGGCTTGCCGGAATGTCCATTAAGGAGTCCACGTTGACTAATACGTGGTTCTAGTTCCCCTACGCACTAAGTGTTCTACCGGAGACATTGAAAACCCAATGGGATAGCCCAGACTTTGCAAAGTATAGAGACGCGTTTCCATCGGAATATTCCTCGTCTAAGGATGCGCTAGAAGCACATGCCAGGGACCTTATGGAAAAGGATGTAAAAATCTCCTATCTCAAAAACCTCCAAGGCTATCTATGGGCGGAGGGTTACGCTTCAGGTGACTTGAAAGCCCCCCTATTCCCGGATGTTGCCGCGAAGCTATCAGAATGGCAACGCAAGGGCATAAAGATAATGATCTATTCGTCCGGGTCTGTGGCGGCACAGAAGCTGTTCTTCGGACATACAGATGCCTCCTCGTCCGATCTGACACCGCAGATCTCAGACTGGTTTGACACCGTCAACGCCGGACTCAAGACGGAGACAGATAGCTACAAGAAAATCGCTAATCAACACCCCGAGTTTTCGTTCGGGGAATGGCTATTCCTAAGTGATAACGTCAAGGAAGTAGAGGCTGCTATCCAAGCTGGCATGCAGAGCGTGGTCGTTCAGCGTCCTGGAAATGCACCTTTATCGCCCGAGGTACCACAGCGGTTACGAGTCATAGAGACCTTCAATTCCCTCGACGATGATCTAAACATGCACACGAAGTAACTGGCCGCCCGGGAAGGGCCAGCAAGGCTAGTCAACGAGCAGAATACCGCCCCCGTATCGGGGGCGCTTACTATAAGTCGAGAAGAGGGCAGGCAAGTCGGACTAAAAGGAAATGGTCGAGTGCAACTTGGCTAGCCCGGCGGGCCAATCCGAGCTGGTCGCCCCAGTTGATGGTATCTAAAGGACTTGCAAATCGGTCGGCATTCAACTCGACGTGGGGGGGGGGGGGGGGGGGGGGGGGTAGGATTGTTTTCTAAAAATAGGAAAAAAAGTTTTATATAGGGTGGAGAATTTGTGAATATACCCAAAGTGGTTGTTATAACGGAGACACCCCG